AACACACACACACACACACACACACACACACACACACACAGAGAGAGAGATTTCCCCCGGCTCATATTTCCCGGGATTCCCGCACCTTTTTGTTTCACTTTGCATTCAGTTCATTGTTTGTGTGTGTGTGTGTGTGTGTGTGTGTGTGTGTGTGTGTGTGTGTGTGTGTGTGTGTGTGTGTGTGTGTGTGTGTGTGTGTGTGTGTGTGTGTGTGTGTGTGTGTGTGTGTGTGTGTGTGTGTGTCTTCCAAATATGTGTAGCCTGGAGGGAATGGGAAGTAATATGACATGAACATGTTAAATGATAAAGTGAGAAACTCTGCCCCCTGCTGCTCACCTGTGGTATTTTTTGTTTAAAGAGGCCCTCTAATGCTTTTATGGGTTTTCCCTTTCCTGTAGTGTTTTATAGGTTTGTGTGCATGTAAATGGTCTACAGAGGCAAACATCCCAAAGTGCCCTCCAGACACACACTCCCCCACCACCTGTCATACAACACTGTGCAATATATACTTATATAATATAATCTTAGTATTACTATCATCATTTACAAAAATATATATTTGTGCATGCAACTTACTAAATTCAGTTTTTACAATGTCTATCATTTGTGTCTATTACTGTAACGATGTATATTTCCCCTATGTGGGATTAATAAAGATATTCCTGTTTGGGCAGGCGTTTGGGTAACTTGTGTGCTTTTATTATATGTTTTTATTGTGTATTGTGTTTTTAGCACTGCTTCATTCGTATGATGTTTTAATGGTTTGTCAAGCACTTTGTGACTATGTCTGTGAAAAGCGCTTTCTGAATCGTTACTTACTTACTATGTTAGAATGTTACTATGTTACTTAGTTAGTTACTAACTTACTATGTTACTTACTTACTATGTTACAATGTTACTATGTTACTTAGTTAGTTACTTACTTACTATGTTACTTACTTTGTTACTATGTTACTTACTTACTTGTTACTTACTTACTATGTTAATTACTTACTATGTTACTTACTTACTATGTTACTTACTTTGTTACTATGTTACTTACTTACTTTGTTACTTACTTTGTTACTATGTTACTTACTTACTTTGTTACTTACTTTGTTACTATGTTACTTACTTACTTTGTTACTTACTTACTTTGTTACTTACTTACTATGTTACTTACTTACTATGTTACTATGTTACTTACTTACTATGTTACTTACTTTTACTATGTTACTTACTTACTTTGTTAATTACTTACTATGTTACTATGTTACTTACTTACTATGTTAATTACTTACTATGTTACAATGTTACTTACTATGTTACTTACTTACTATGTTAATTACTTACTATGTTAATTACTTACTATGTTACAATGTTACTTACTATGTTACTTACTTACTATGTTAATTACTTACTATGTTAATTACTTACTATGTTACTTAATTACTATGTTACTTACTTACTATGTTAATTACTTACTTTGTTAATGACTTACTATGTTACTTACTTACTATGTTAATTACTTACTTTGTTAATGACTTACTATGTTAATTACTTACTATGTTAATTACTTACTTTGTTACTTAGTTACTATGTTAATTACTTACTATGTTACTTACTTACTATGTTAATTACTTACTGTTACAATTTTAATTACTTACTATGTTAATTACTTACTATGTTACTATGTTACTTACTTACTATGTTAATTACTTACTATGTTAATTACTTACTTTGTTACTTAGTTACTATGTTAATTACTTACTATGTTACTATGTTAATTACTTACTATGTTAATTACTTACTTTGTTACTATGTTACTATGTTACTTACTTACTATGTTACTTACTTACTATGTTAATTACTTACTTTGTACTATGTTACTATGTTACTTACTTACTATGTTACTTACTTACTATGTTAATTACTTACTTTGTTACTTACTTACTATGTTACTATGTTAATTACTTACTATGTTAATTGCTTACATGTTAATTACTTACTATGTTACTTACTTACTATGTTAATTACTTACTATGTTAATTACTTACTTTGTTACTTACTTACTATGTTAATTACTTACTATGTTAATTACTTACTATGTTACTTACTTACTATGTTACTTACTTACTATGTTACTTACTTACTATGTTATTATGTTACTTACTTACTATGTTAATTACTTACTATGTTACTATGTTAATTACTTACTATGTTACTATTACTTACTATGTTACTTACTTACTTACCAATCAGAGCAGACTGGGCTCTGGTTTCAGACAGAGGGTGAAAAGAGGCCCCTTTAAATATCTTGATTCATTTTCGCAATAATAAAAAGAAACACACAAACATGTAATTGGCCAGGAATAGGTTTTATATAAAATTTGAACAGTGGATACAGAGGCGATATTATGTGTATAAAAAAATACATACAATAAAAAGGAAAAATAAATGAATCTTTTTTTACTATTTTGAGCAGATGTTAGCTGATGAAATGTAAAAGGCACTAAATGTACAACATTCCAGTTTTAGAGACGTTTGAAACAGAGCTCACCCCGAGATGAACGAGAAACACAACAAAACAAAAGAAAAATCACAGGGAATTTGTTGTCTTTGATTTGCAAGACATAGTGCAGATTTCACAACATAAACATAGGAAAAAACTCTCAAAAAACACACAACTATTTACCATCGAAGAAACACTAAGACTCGTTGTGAGCGTCCACTCGGACACCTTTTAAGACACCAAACGTTGGTCGGAAAAACGTTCATAATTTATAGTTTACATCACAATTTTCTACAACAGCACTAAACACTGCGACGAGTCACAAGGAGCGAAGCGACCGGCAGCTGTCGGTATCATACAGGATGTTTTTGATTTGGTAAATACACTGAAATACATGCTAACTGGAGAAAGAAACAAACACAACAACGTTACAGAGAAAACACACCTGGAAGATTACAGTGCCTGCAGACAGGGTCAATTCAAAAGGGATCAAATTAAGAGTTTCAGGATGAAAGTATTTAGGGGTTACGAATAATAACATGAGTCCAGGTTGATGTACGCAAGGATTACTTATAGTTAAATACATGCTTTCACACATTACTGATTCATTATCATGATTTTTCGGTTCATAACTAACGGTGATTTTGGGAGATTTTGACACGTGATGTAGTTTTTTTGGGGTTTATTGACGAGAAAAAGGCACATTTCCTACCCTGGTGGGACGACACATTTCTATTCTACCCACTGATTGTGTTTTCAGTTGCGTAACGAGCTTTACAGTCATTATTGCTACAGACGTTTAGTCATTCAAGGTACAAATCGTGAGCTCAGCGGAAAAGAAAACCCACTGAAACTGGCACACAACGGTAATCTACATTATCAGGGACATTCACTATGATACAATCAACCCAAGAGTACTTTTTAACACTAGTTTGTTTTCTATAAATACGTATTAAAAAGTGATTTTTTGCTCATTGTTTAGCTGTTTTGTTTAACTTAAGTCACTTTAAGAGCTGTTTATAAGAGAAAAAGCTGTAAAAGGCCACTTTAAAGACTAGCTGAGAGCATTAAGCAGATATAGTCAGATTGTACTCAGAATTAAGGGAGACCAAAAATGGAGATAAAAAATCAGTTTCACGGAAAAATGATTTAGAAATCATTCTGATGTTGTGTAAATTAAGAGTTTGCTAAGGTTTTGGGGTCACTATTAATTAGAAGTTGTATCAAAACCCCCTTGTAAGCTAAAAAAAGAGTTAGATTTTTCTCTGAAGTTAGGTGGAGGTGACAAAAATCGGAGATAAAATTGAAAGCAAATTCGACTTTAATGCATAAAGTGGACACAAACATTACTCCAAATAAATTAAATGTTGCTCTGAATGTGTAAATTATCAGTTTGCTAAGGTTTTGGAGTCAATATTCAGGAATTGTGAAACAAAAACACCCTTTAAACTCAAGGAAAAGTCAGATATTCCTCAGACGTTCGGTGGAGGAGACCAAAAATGGAGCTAAAAGAATCAGAAAAAACGGATAAAGAGGGTTTTGGATTCAATATTAATGAAGAATTGTAACAGAAACATCCTTAGAAATCCAGAAACATTCTCTTAACTATGAGTCTTTTTACTAAATCCATTGACTGGCTCCCTGCAGGCACTGTCTGTGTTGGAGTGTTTCCTGACGAACAATTAAGACTTTAAAAAAACAAAGCATGCCACCAACTTTCTCTAGCCTCTACAGCAAACTATACATCCTCAGCCATAGCACACACTGGAATGAGTTACAGTAAACAGCACTATATCTTACATGAAATTGAAATATATACAAATACTGGTCAACATGGAGATTTACTGCATTCTGAATCACAAGCTGAAGGCATTTACTGCGACACAAATATCACTCTCATAGGTAACCACAGACAGAAACAAAAACAGAAGAATTTGGCTTTTTTTCAATGTTTAAAGCTAAATAAAAATCAGATGTTGGAATGCATTTAAAGCTGGAAACAACTTTCCCTCATATTAGTGTTGATATTTGGCCCATTACGTGGAAACAAAAATAGCTTTTACACAGTATACAGAGACGAAGAGAATAGCATATGTTCATGATAATGCTCATTTTGTTAGTAAATTGCATGCAAACAGTGTTTTTAAAGCATTGTCCAGTTTCCATAGCAGATGTTTCACCTCAGTTTAACGTCATGCATATATTCTAAAAGTGTTAAATTAAAACCTGGCTGGTTGTGATGCAGAACATAAAACTCTTTCTCGGTGCATTGCATGTTTGTTCCTATGCTTATATGTATTTTAAAGACGACAAGAAACGGTTGCACTGAGGTGAAAATCAAAAAAGGAGGCAGTGTTTTTTTTTTTTTTGTCACGAGGTACCACAACATGCCAGAAGCATTCACAGTAACATAATGTCAGAGTACCATAACGTCAGTCTGTAGATGTTAATATTACTGCGTGCAGAGTTACTGAAGGCAATGTGAAGAACATCACTGAGGAATCTGCAGACTGTTGCATCGACTTCAAGAGTTTGAATTGTAGCTTCGCAGGAATGTCATTAAAGTCAGTGACTGCTGATAGAAAATGAAGATTATTAAGAGTGTTATTTTTATTCCAAGCGTTCTCCTTTTCTGGAGATGGACAGAATGGGAAAAAAACCAAATTTCAGGATGTACTTTGGAACGAAATACATCGGGATTTAGATGATATTTTAGCGTTGGCTATTACGTGTTTTTACGCTAGTGTTAACAAAGATGTGGTTAATATGGATATAATGTTGGAGCAGTCTAACAAATAAAAGCCAGAAACTGTTGGTAAATGATTTGGAAAATGATGCATCCAAACATCACCTCAATCGCCTATTGCCATATTTGGAATAAATAAATAAAAAATGCTCCCTTTGTTAATCAATTGATGATATAGCAAACACTCTAAAGTAGAGTAAAACACATCAATACATTCTGCAATGTCAGCACAGCTTTGGTGAATCCTGATCCACTGTTGTCATTACTGATTCAATTATGTTTTTTAAAATATATTTCAATTAGGTTTTGTTGCCTTTATACTAGCGGTGATTTAACGGTGCGTTCACAGAAGCTGGGAGTTTGAAAAGTGTGTTGGAGTACTCCGTTTACTCGTTTACATGCAGTAGGATAAATAGTATTTTTTGTAATCCAATCCCTTCCTTTACTTGTTAGTAGCGTTCATTTCTGCGATCCTGTTTTGATTAGAATCAGCTGTTATTACAGTATATAAGGTTATTTAATTTATAGTGATTACGTGTGAAATGACAGTCACAATGAAGCAGTTTTAATCAACATTAAACGTATTATTCCAGCTGGTGCAACAGCCTGCAGAGCCCTACGGTAATAAAACATAAAGTAAATGATATCATATGACGGCATTCTTGATTTTAACGAACCATTTAAAGACGGAGTGACGTAGTGTCCATTGGGGTGTTTTTCTAAATAAAAGCACATTGAGATTTGATCATGTCATGCTTTCAGAGGATGAAGAAAAGATCAAATAAAATAAAGAAACTGACTGTGTCCCTGTTATATGATAGATTTTCCCCGCCCTTCCCAAGAGCAGCTGATGGAGAGGTCTGATACTTTACTGTGTTTTTTTTTTGTTAACGTGTTCCCCAGTTCCTCTTCAGTTTTTACGGATGTCAGCGTAGACCACTGGCTCCATCTTGTGGAAGGAGCTCCTGCTGCCCGAGTGATCCAACTGGGCATATATCACCGGGCCCTGCGGGGGAACGGGAGGAAAGGGGCATAAAAACATCAGTAAAAACCACTCAAATATGTACATTAGGGTGGTCCTTAGAGCAGTGTACATTTTCAAATTCATTTATTTTAAGCTCCAACCACCGGAATTCGTGGTGATAGTCAAGAAAACTCTCCTGGTGAATTCCAACAAGATTTACCCCGCCCTCATCGACCTGGAAGTTTAGCCTCACGTAGGGTGGTCCTTAAAATTGAAAGTGGGAAAGTCTAAGCTCCAACCCCCTAGTTCATTCTATTAGTCAAGAAAACTCTCCTGGTGAATGTTTTCCCCAATCTGACTACATGTACCCCTCCCTCGTCGACCTGGGCTGCCACACCAGCAGCCACG